CAGCCTGCTACTCTGTACCAGGGCGGGACTGGGTATTTTCACCCTCTTCTTCCTCATGGAGTCTCCCACCTCTCAGAAGGACTCTAGTGCTTCCCACCTCACATCACTGGTGGGGAAACTGAGGCCCAGGGAGGGCAGTTGACTTGCCTGAGGTCAAACACAGCTGGGAAGCTGGGGGAAGGATTGAAGTGTCCGTGTCTGTCCCAGAAACTTTAATTCTTTACTTTTTTTTTTTTTTTGGTGCCGGGGATCGAACTTGGGTCCTTGCACTTTCGAGGCAGGCAGCAGAACCACTGAGCTAAATCCCGGGCCCCCAGAAACTTTAATTATTCACCAGGTCTGCACCCACTTTCCTCCCAAGCTGTCTGTCTCCTTTGACAGCACAGGAAGTGAAAACCCTCTGAGTCAGTCCCTTTGTGGGCTTCAGCTTATGTTTCCGCCCCACTTAGACCAGCTTAGTTGCCCTTTTCCTAGGTCTGTGTGTCATTTTGAGTGGATGGGGGAGGGGCAGAGTGAGGGTTGGAACTTGGAAGCTGCCCCTCCCCCACTGACCAGTTGAGATTTCTTGTCAGTCACGTGGTCCCGGTGGTGGCTCCTCAGGAATGTGGGGATACCACAGGGGCCTGTGCTGCTGCCTCCCCCTCCCGGCCACCAGCCTCCCACATGTGCCTGATTTGTTAAAATGGTGGCTGAGGCCCCACGTCTTACCAAGTGTCGTTCTGTGGAGTCCTTTCCTCTCCCTGCATGCATTGTCCTGATATCCCTGCCACCCCTCCCTGGCTCTGGAGCCTTGGGCAGGAGGATAGGGAAAGCTGCCTGCTTCCTGCCCTGGCGGTCCCTCTCCAGCCTGTCTCCAGGGAGAGGCTCTGGAGCCAGGCAGACACAGGGAGGCCTGGCCTGTGCTGGGAACTTGGCTCCCAGGAGCTCCTGGCCCGGGAGCCCCAGATGCTCTGGGGAAAGAGGCTGTGGCTGGGCAAAGGAGGGGGATGGGAGGCCCAGGAATGAGTCCTCCATCCATCCGTCCGTCCATCCATCCATCCATCCATCCATCCAACAAAATATTCAGTAAATGTCTTACTCTGGCCAAGCGCCTGGCAGGTTTTAGGAGCAGGGAATATGGCAGTGAGCAAGGAGTGGTGATTATAACCACTGAGTGAGGCCTGGTTGGGAGACCTCAGCTTGAGACCCTGCTCCTCTCCTTTCCCACCAAGACCAAGGAGGTCACCCTGTGTTTCCTCTTTGCCCCATTCAGCCAGAGCCCGTGATGCCCGAGACATCTTGAGGTGGGTGGGTACCACCAGACCCTGGTGTGGTAGCGAAGATGGAGGTGGCCTCCTTGTGTGGTCTGGTGTCACAGGGCTGGCTCTTTTGAGTGAGAGCCTTGTGCCATGGGACAGCATGGCTAGGTGGCCTGGAAAGATGGGGCAGGGGCTCCCAGGGCAGGCACCTCAAAACCCTAGAATTCCAGGCAGGAAGACACTTGAAGTGGATGCTGAGGCTTGGGGAGAAGATGACATTTTAGACAAGTCTAGGAGAAGGGATGGGATTTCAGGAGGCAGAGGGGGAGGGAAAGGGGAAGGAGTTACCTAACCATTTCCTTATCTGCAAGATGGAAATAATCCTTGGAGGGCAGGGGTGGGGTGTAAATGATATTTTATATGTATGTGGACAGATGCCTAACTTGGAGAACACTCCCAGAGGTAACAGTGAATATCCCTCTTCTCCTTTCCCTTATCCAGCACTTGAAGGGAGGAGTTGAAAGGACTGAGTGGGTGGGTCAGGGTTGTCTGCTGGGGAGATCCTCACCTCATGCCCAGAGGTGGTCTCTAAGGTCACCCCAGCCCTTCTTCTCCAGCTCCGAGTCTCAGATGTCCCCAGGGGCCCTTTTGGCCTTAGAGGGCCCAGGAATTGAAATCTGCCAGACCCGAGTTTGATTCCAAGCTCTACCATCTTTTAGCATTGGTTCCTTTTGGTCATTGGTGTGCGCTGGGGCTAAGAGCAGGAAACCGTATCCACCCACCCCAGTCCCCGGGCAGGTGTGCCCCCTCTCGGTGGGAGGCTGGCCTTGCCTTCCTGCTATGAAGACACTGTGCTGTTTCCTCTGCCCAGGACATCCTCCCGCCCAAAACCTAACTGTGGGGCCAGGGCCAGGCAGGAAGGGATGGTGTTGGGGAAGTGGATGTTAAAACCTTAGAGCCAACCATTTGATTGACCAGTTTTTGGTGAAGCTGGGTGCTCCCTTGCTCTGAGCTGAATTGCAGAAGATGTTAGGTGTCTGGGTGCTGCAAGAAAGACATCGCCTATCTGGACCTTCACCCCCCACTCCTCAGCAGCTGAAGGACCGGGGTTTTCTGCACTGTCAACACTGGCACCCACTGAGTCGGGCGCTCCTGCCATCACTGCAGGGAGGGACGTCTTCAGGGCAGTGGACTCCATGTGCACAGCCAGCTGCCTTCCACACGTGGGGTCTGTCTTCCATACTCTGGGGCAGGTGAGCCAGCTGCCCACCGAGCCCTGCTTTGGGAATAAAAGGCCCATGAAATCACTCATGCAAGCTCACCCTGGAATGCATCCCAGGAAGCGTGCTGGAGGGGTTAGGTGTACAACTTGGGGTGCAAGGAGTAGGAGGTGGAGGCACTGGATCGTGCATCTCCCAGAACCTGGTTGGGTGCAGACCAGCACCGCTGGGGAACCGTCTGCCCCACCCACACCCGCTGAGTCAGGGTCTGCAGGGAACAAGATTGCTGGTGATCCCCTGTCTCATGCTTGCTGCTTTAGAGCCGGGCTAGATGTTAATCCCAGCTCCCTGTTTGCTAACTGTGTGGCCTTAGACAAGCTGCCTCGCCTCTCTGAATTTCAGGGTTAATAATTCATGTTAAAGCAGATGTGTGTGTGTACGTGTATAGGACCTGGACCATGCTGGCCAACAGATGTTTGCTCTTAACTATCTGGAAGTCCAAAGTTGTGGGCTCACTTCACCTTGTGTGGATCTGGGCAAGTGGTTTTTCCTCTCTGGGTCTCATTTTCTCCAGCTGTGCAATGGGTCTGCTGACCTCTGCCCAGAGGTGAGGTTTTGCTCTGCCACAGTCCCAGGGCCATCCCTCACTCCTGCTGTGAGAAATAGCAGCGAGGCTGTCTCCAGAAGCCAGGCTGCATCTGCAGCACCACATTCAGACTCAGCAGTCGAGTCCCCTTTCTCCCCTCAGAGCAGCATAGCCAGGAGAGGTGATTCAGCTGGGGATCTGTGGGCCTGCACCTCCTCCAGGAAGCCCCAGATGCCCCATGGTGCTGGCCTGAGGTGAGAACAGGCCTGGGAACTTCTCCCCCCGCCCCCATTGGGCCTGTCCTTTTCAGCAAGAGGTGGCCTGGGGTGGACTCTGCCTCACTCCTGACATCGTAGGTGACCTTGGGCAAACGGCTTGTCCACTCTGAGCCTCAGTTTCCCTCTGCACAACAAGGGAGCATGCAGTAGATGGTCCTGCCCTGCCCCTCCTTAGCATCCTCTACATCCGCCAGTGCTGGCAGGGGCCCCAGCCCTTCTGGCCTCTGGGTCCGGACCCTGGACCCCGGAGCAGGGATAGGCCAGGCAGCTAATGTGGGCTAACGTGGGATTGGCAAAGACTAAAGTGAACAGGGGAGGGCATGAGTCCTCAGGGAGCTGCTGGCTAGGCCCCACTAGGGTGGGGGAGAGGAGGAATTTTCCTCTGTGTGTGCAAACAGTATCCATTTTCTCTTGATACCAAAAGCTGGTGATGTAACCCACTCTTCATCCCTCCCTCCCCTCTGGCCTATTTTTAGCTGGCCCACAGCATCCTAAAAGGCTTCGAGACCTCCTTGCTTTGCAGCCAAGTGGGGAGAGCAGCCTGGGGGTGAGGAAAGACAGAAGCTTGGCTGTATGTCCCAGGACAGAAGGAGGGAAAGAAGCTGCCACTAGCTCCTCCGGGGAGGGAGCAGACGGGTGGGAAAGTAGGAGGGGTCTTCAGGCTCTGAGGGTGCTGGGCTTGGGGAACCCAAATGAGGACTCAGCAGTCAGTCTGGAGCCTCCCCTGGCCTGGCTCCCAGCTCCCCCTGCCCTCACCTGGTCTTGGGCACATGACTCTGAGCCTTGATCTCTTTACCCTACATGGGGATGATGACAACACCTAGGCCACTGGGCTTCCAGGGGACCGAGCAGCTTCATATAGAAGGGTACCCATGGCTAAGGAAGTGTCAGAGGGGAGCTGCTGCTACCATCCTGCAGTTAATACTTGGGGTACACTGAATTGTGCTTGGCTGTACCCCTCCATCCTTTCCTGCTCAGCTTCAGCCAGCGCATGTATGAATGAAATGATATGCAGAACACCCCTGGAATAGGGCCTGGCGTATGATAAATGCTAAAGAAGCAAGAGCCCTATTTGTTGAGTTTTGTTTTAATGTAATAAAACAGGCCTGGCTGTGAATTCTGTCCTTACCCATTGGATAGCCATGTCTTTGGGGCAAGACCTTTAGCCCCTCTGAGCTCAGTTTCTACATCTGTTAAATGGGATCACAACACCTATGTTATTTTTGTACTGGTTAAAGTGGGTTGTAGAACAAAGGGACCCCAAGAATGCAATGCTTAACACAATGAATTTGTTTCTTGCACATGGAAAGGAGAGCCCGAGGATGAGTCAGCTTCAGGCTGCCTCCTAAGGCCCAGCTTTTTACTACATCTTGTGGCAACAGCAACAGCAGCAGTATTTCCACCCCACTTTACAGTTTGTGTGAAGGGGATGATGATCCCTCCTGCTTGTCTCCCCATGGTCCCATGCTCAGGCCTTGGAAGTGGTATTTGTCACTGCCTGGAATTATGGTTAGCATTAACCAGCCCTCCTCCCAAGCTGGGTGGATGCACAGATGGATTTGCCTTCGTACCCTCCCCACCCAACCTAGGGACAGGCTGGATACCAAGCATGGATACTGAGGGCTGGACTGGCTTGCTGAGGTCACCCTCTGACCACTGTATTTCTTGTCTTTTGCAGATGGGAGGAGGAGCTTGCCAAACGGATGGACCTCCAGACCATGGTGGACACGCTGCAGGAGGTGAGATTCCTTGAGGTCCCTGCCAGGAGAGGGGTGGGAGAGCCATGAGGCCAAGGCTCTCCAGGCAAAGCCAGGCAGTGAGTCCCAGAACAGCCCCTGCGCTGTGTGCCTTCTATTGCTCCAGCCTCTCCTCTGGGAAACTGGGAGGTCTCTTCTGCCTCCTGTATTTAAGAGCTAGGAATGGCCCAGCACAGTTGCATAAAGCTTGGCCACAGGAGTTGGGAAGCCTGGGTCTTGTTGGGGCCAGAAGGTCTCCCTCTTCTTCAGCCTGTCTCCCCCCACAGAGGCTGTATTAGGTGGTCCCAAGTCCCCCTGAGCCTCAGTTTGCAGGTCCCTCAAGCTTGGACTGGTGCTTCAGAGAGAACTGGCAGGCTTATCCCCAGGAGGGCCCCCCAACCTGAGTGGGCTCCATGGTGGACACATTGCCCTTGCTGCTTGGCTAGTGGCTCTGCATTCTGGGTTCTGCTGCTGACCCACGGTGGTGAGTCTGAGCAGCAAACTTCACCTCTTGGACTTTGTTTTCCTCTAAATCAAATGGGAACAAGAATAGTGATTCTGTGAGGAGGCATGAAAAGATTTTTCAAAACATTTTAAGAATTAGGTGGGCTGATATAGCTCAGTGGTAGAGGCCTTGCCTAGCCTATCTGAGAACCAAAAAAAAAAAAAGAAAAATTCCTTCTAATGTTTAAAGCATTTATAGCCTAAGAAGGAGGCAAACTGAAATAATTACCAATATGTGGAAGGAAAAGAATAAATGTCCCTCTTTCTTTTATAACAAAGTATTTTTTTAAATATGGAAAATTCAGAAATGCATATGGAACAGGATCAAAGTTGCCTCCAGTTCTGCCTGTCCACAGACTAGCAATTGCGACCTTCCAGTCTCTTCTATGTGAGGGCGCCCCCACCCATGCATCTGCATGCACATGTTAGGGTGATGTGTGCCACCTTGCTATTTCTGAGGTGAGAGATGGCCAAATATCGGCAATTCCATGGGAGTCGACCTCACCGTTTAATGGGCTGGGGTCCCTCGTTACCTTAACTTGCTCTTTTTCTCTTGGCATCTGCCACGGATCTTTTCATGTCATAAATGATCCTCTGGAAAGTGCTTGGAGCAGTCAGCAGGGCTCAGTGGGAAGCAAGCAGGGACGATGAGGTCCTTGGCACCTTTCCCTGGCTTGTAGGTGCCCAGCCTGGTGGGACATCAAGTGCCCAGCCTCAGAGGGACCCAGGTGTCCAGTTCCTTGCCCACTCCGGGTGCTGGCCCCTCTGAAGCCTGCCCATGTCCATCCACAGGCAGCGCAGGAAGCCGAGGCCATCCAGGAGGAGATGAACGAGAAGATAGAGCGGCTTAAGGCTGAGCTGGTGGTGTTCAAGGGGCTCATGAGTGACGTAAGTGCCACCGGCCGCCGCTGCCTGGTGTTATGACCTGCCCCACACCCATCATGCAGAATGCTTTATTCACTCCGAGGCTCTGAGCTCGGCTTCTAGTTAGAGTCCTGGCTGGCTGCGTTTGTCCTGAGGATGACGGATGGATGCCTCGGAGACCAGGCGCCCTTCCTGCCCTCCCCATGCTGCTCCCTCCGTCTGAGTAGAGATGCATTAATCCGCCGCTTAACCCATCGCCCTCCCAGGCTCCTCTGATGGCCTGTGTGTGTTGCTCGACTCCTTCCAGCTCACCGTGCCGTGGGCCTTGGTGTCTGGTTTGGGGTGACAGTGCAGGCTGGGGTGTGCTAGCCTGAGGCTCCTGGGCGGATGGCCTCCAGCAGGCTGCCACTTAAGGCAGGAAAGGCCGGTCTGCATCCTCTGGACAACCTGGGGGCCCCTGAGTAACCTCAGGTTGGGGTTACTGTGGGCAGCAGAGGCCTCCTTGCTGCTGGGGACCTGGGTTTCTTGTTGCCTTCGAGCAGTGGGTAGTGTGCAGGGAGAGGCTGCCAGGGGAGGAGGAGCCTAGATGTGGTGACTCAGCCTAGCCTGGCTCCTGGTGCTCAGGAGCATGCAGCTGGGTGTGCTGGAGAATCCTGGGGCCCCAGGTGGAGCCACATGCCCAGGAGCCCCCTCATCCTTGATGACCCTCTGCTGTTAGCTAGGGAGGAATCCAGGAGAGAGCGGGGTGCCTTGGCGGGCACGCCTTGTGGGACAGGTGGGACAAGCTGGATGGAAAAAAAGGGACTCTACCCAGCAGTGGAAGTTGTATTTCCTTTTTCTTTCCTCTAACAAAACAAACATGGACTCTCTTTCCTGCTGAGAGGGGGCCTTGTAGCCCTCGGGGAGGCTGGCACACACCACGGTCTCACATCATCCCTTCCGAGGCCCCAACACCGCTTCCCCACCCTGAGCAGCACTGACCTGACCATCCACTTGCAGGAAAGGCTCAAGTCTCCCTTGGACTCCAGGGGCCTCCCCCAACACCTAGGGGTCTTCCCACCTCTGCCAGGCCCCTCCTGCTTGCTCCATCCCTCACTCACGTAACCCCTGCCTGCTGTCCTCCCTGCAGCCCATGACAGATCTGGACACAAAGATCCAAGAAAAGGCCATGAAGGTGGACATGGACATCTGCCGCCGAATCGATATCACGGCCAAGCTGTGCGATGTCGCACAGCAGCGGAACTCGGAAGACGTGTCCAAGATCTTCCAGGTGACTAGGGCCACCCCGCTCACCAGCCACCACCCCCCTTCCAGAGCCACCCGGGCCTCCCCTGCTGCCCGGCCAGCCCCTCTTCTCCCAGCATCCACCCAAATCCTTCTTGAGGAGTAGCATCAACCCGACCTTCTGCCTCCTAGGAAAACATACTCAGAGACTTGCGGACTTGTAGGCCCTGCTGACTCCACTGTCGAATCTGACTGCTTCATCCATGGCTGAGGACACCGAATCTTAGGGGGTTGTGTGCTGTGTCTAGGTGTGAAAGTGGGCAGAGCTATGTTAGGGCTCAGGGTCTTGACCTTCCAGGACATGTCCTTTGGCCCATGTGGGCCTTGCTTTTTGCCTGTTCCTCTGGCCGCCAGGACTGGGCAGTGTCCCCATGGTGGGAGAGCCATTGCCAGGCTGTGCGACATACATCTAGGGAACCAACTTGAACCCTGGCCAAGGGGCCTCAGCAGTCACAAGAGGAGCTGTTAGCCTTTGACTATATTTCATTCTGGAAGTCTCTTGACACCCCCAGACCTGACGTGCAGTGTGGGTGTCCCTCAGAGAGACACTTAGCAATCAGTTAGCACTGATGGGCTTGTCCTGGGAGAGGGCTTGGGGACGACTGAGGCCACATGTCATTCTCCGAAGGCTGCTTCCTGAATGTGGGGTCGTGGTGTGGCTTTTGCTCGAGCCCAGGGCATGATGGTGCACTGTCGCTTTCTGTGTGTGACTTTGGAAGTGGCTGGCAGGGTCTGGGCCTCTCGGGGGCCCTTTCTCCTTCCATGCCTTCTCGCCGCCCCTCTGCTGGAAAGCAGGGGACCCATACCACCTTCGTCCGCTCACGTCTTGTCTGCCTGGGCCTCAGGCCACCCATCTGTGCATGGGAAAGGAGTGCCCTGGGAGCTGTGTGGGCTCTGTCGGGGGTATGGGATCTCAGCGTCTGGCTCGGAGACACCCCCAGTGACTGCACTCTGGTCTGGCCCATCCCTGCCCTAACTCATGGGGCTGCTTTTCTGGTGAAGGGAAGAATGGGGGCTCCCAGGGCAGGGCAGGGTCTAGCATCCGTGTTCTCTACCCTGCATGTCTTCCACCTCACGCTTCTTGCTAACGCTGCCTGCTTCCTAGAAGACCCACACGTCTTTCCCACAGTGGCTGGCCCAGCCAAGCACCATCCACTCCCTGAGATGCCACTTCTCTTCCTGCCTGCCCCTGCCCTCCATCCCATCCGACCCCCTAGTTACCTCTACTCTTCCTTCCCGGTCCAGGTGGTCCCCAAAAAGAAAGAGCGTAAAGTGGCATCAGATGATGACATCTCGGAGCAGGATGGTGAGGTGAATCGGTTCTCAGATGATGAGGTCGGCTCCATGAACATCACAGATGAGATGAAGCGCATGTTTAACCAGCTGTGAGTGTCCCCGCTGCCTTTGTACCCTACACCAAGGGCATGGTGGGGAGGACGGGACACCAGTGGCCTGGGCTGAGAGCACCCTGCATATGCGTTTGGTTGGATCAGCACAGTGTTCTGGAAGAATTGGGGCTGATTTGCAACAGTGATAATTTAGGAAATTTCATGTTCTCACTCTCTCTAGAAGCCCAAGACCAGGTCCAGGCACAGCTGGCAGGGCTGAATGGAGGCCCCAAATCTGGACAGGGCCTGTGCACTTCTTTTTGCCACAGTCCTTTGTGTTACCTGCTACCTTTCATCTGGGGCAGGGGGCTGTTCTTGCCTGTAGGATGAAGGAGCTGGGCTGTCCCCTGCCTAGTCATGTATAGAAGAGTCTGTGTCTGATGACTTCATGAGCAGAAGGGACCATAGGAGTGGGCTCAGGCAGACCTCCTCCCACCAGTCTCCCTGGGAATGAGTCACAGGAGGGGCCCTGGAACTCACTGAGGTTCCCCCATGCTCAGGGTGCTTCTCACAGGGCACATGGCTGACACCAGACACCCAGCCTTGGAGGCAGGGTTATCTCTTCCCCTTTGTAGATGAGGAAACTGAGACTCCAAGAGGGGAAGCCATTTGCCCAAGACACTCAGCTGGTACATGGCAAAGCTGGGACCCAGCCCCAGCCTGTCTCCCTAGAGTGCCCCCATTGTGAGCTGCTACCCAGGTGGCAGCAGAATTGGTATGGTCACTGGTGGCCAGGACAGCTGATACCAGCTCTTGGAAGCTGACTGTGCCAGTGCTGTGTGTGTGCAAGTTCAGTGATGTCACATTAGTAGCATGAAACTTGCTATTGCAGGAAACTGGCAAATGCTACTAAGCAGGGCTTCCCTTCCCTGCCCCTAAGCTGAGAGCTGGTGTACCAAACCTCATGTGGTACAGTCGGCCTGAGAACAGGGTAGCATTGTGGCCTTGCCTATCCAGTGCTGTATTCTCAGTATATCTTTAGCAGGGCCCTAGAGAGGGATGGGGGGCAGGTGTGAATGTGGGCATTGGGTGCATCAAATGGCAGGGCTGGAACTTGATCTCTGGGGCCTGCCTGTGTCTCTCACCCTCTGGCCCCGTTTCTCTGGAGTCCCTTGCAGTTAGCCACCTAGACCCTGAGAACTCAGCTTTCTCCAGGGCTACCAGCTGTGAGACTGGCTTGGCACTGCACAGTCTAGGGGCTCACCAGCAGCTCCTTCACTGTACAGATGGGGAACAGGCTCGGAGAGGGTCATTCTAAGAGTGGACAGAGCCAGCACCCCCAAGCTCCTGGTCCAGTGCTGTGTCCCCTACACCAGCTGTCTGCACGCTTGGAAGAGATGTCCCATTTCTGTCCCTCATGCATCACTGTCCTTGTCCCGGTCCCTTTTTTGGCAAAGTTGGCTGACTTGTAAGGAGGATGAAGAGACGGAGGCAGGAGTTGGAGCTGGGGTGGGGATGGAGCTCCCCAGCCAGATCCTGCCCTGAGCCTACTGTTCCCGTGACACAGACGTGAGATAGGGCTGCATTTGGGGGGTTTGCTGCTTGAGGATAACAGAGACCCCTAGATTCATCTTTTAACACAGATCCTCTTTAGATTGCCTGTTTTCTTCTGCTGATAAGGGGGCTTTTGAAAAGAAGCCTAACCAGAGGCTGGGTCCAAGTTTTCTGGCTGCTGCTCTGGGCATTCCTGGGCCAAGTCACATGCTCCAGAGACCCCGGGCCAGGTTCATTTGAATTTCATTTATTAACTGATTAATTGAAGTACTGGGAATTGAACTCAGGGCCTTTACACTGAACTACATCCCCAGCTGCTTTTTAATTTTTAAGAGACAGGGTCTCACTAAGTCACCCAGGCTGGGCTCAACCTTGCCATGCTCCTGCCTTCATGGAATGTCTAGGAACACTGCCTACACTTTATGAAAAATATGTAGTATTCATCTATGCTAGGTAGAGTTTATTAGTTTTATGAGGCTATTTATTATTTTCCAACGCATCCACTTAGGATGAGTTAGGAGTAAAGCCTTCAAGAGTGTTGAACATGTGCCACCATGCCCAGGCATTTGGTTGAATTAAGGGGCTTCTCTGAAGAAATAGTTGTCCCTGTTCATATGAAGTCCCCAGGGAATGGTTAAGCTGACAGAAATGGGGTGAGCTGCAAAGGACACATCTGGAGAGCTATGGGGGCGGGGCTCCACGGGGCAAGGCGCCCCCTACGTGGAAAGAGTGGTCTCATTGGAATCAGGCAGGAGCCAGTGCTGTACATGTGGGTGCTGACAGGTCTAGATGGGGATCTGTCTCTAATTAGATTTATCTGGTTGTTAAGTTGCCTCAGTTAAAAATAATCCTCTGATCGCTGTCGCTGCCCGCTCACCCCATCCTGTGGTTCTAGGCACAGCAGTGACCCTCTGCCCCACCCCCAGGCGGGCCCTGGTTTTCTCCCTGATATCAGCGCCAGCCATGGGGCCAGACCCAAGCCAGAGGCTGCCCTCCCCGCCAGTTCTAGTGAAGTCTTTAAATGACACACCCGTCAGGCTGTTTTGTTTTCATCCAAATCAGTTGCTTGGGCTTGAGGAATCTGCTGCTGTCCTGCACTAGAGCCAGCGCCCAACCTCAGCCCCTCCCTGGTGTAGGGGGCGTCTCCCATCCCTGCTCTTGGCAGACTTCCAGTCCTTCCTGGCCCGCTGCCCTCAGCTGGGTTTTCCATCAGATCCCAGACGCTGGGAAGGAAGTGGTGTCTGTGTTGCCATGACTATTGACCCCAAAGGCTCCCACCCCCGCCTCCCTCTCCAATCCCCCTCTCCCCTACCCCCAGCCCAGCTCTGGTCCCTGGACTCCTGGAGCCACCTGTAGACTACTGCAGGAACTGCTGTTGGGCAGGAGCTTCCCACCCTGACTCCAGGGGGCGCTCTAGGCAGCTTTTTACCAGAAGGTCTTCTGAGCCCCAGTGGCTCCCAGCCCATGAGGGCTGGGGTGGGGTGGTTGGTAGCCCTGCTCTGGAGGATGCAAGAAGGAGTTGAGGGGGGAAGTGTGGTGATGGGGAGCACCCTGGGATGGAAGTCTGGAGACCTCACTCTGCTGTGCCACTGATTCCGTGGGAGTGTTTAACGCCTAGGCTCAGCCTTCCCACTAATACAAGGTCTGTTGGTTGGAATGATTGTTAACATCCCCTCCAGTTGGGGTAACCAGTGCATCTTGGGAAATCCTTCAAGCCTGGAAAAACCTGGATGATTGGTTCCCTATTTCCAATTCTAGCCAGTAGGGAGACTCTAAAATCACTTGGGATTTGAGTGCAAATCCAATTTCCAGCATGTATTGGTCTAGAAGGCCATCTAGTCTCTCTGAGCCTCAGTTTTCTCACCTGTAGAATGGGAACAACAGTCATGCTTCCCTCACAGGACTATTCTGAGGGTGGAGTTGGTTACATTTTAGTGTCTTCTTAGTGGCCAGTCCAGGCCCAGCACAGAACAGTGCTTGGTGATGTTTTTTAAGGGAGGAAAAAGCTATAGAAAGATACAGAAAGATCTGGCTATTAGCCCCAGTTCCTGCTACATGTAGCTCTCTATAGCTTTGAACAAGGGAGTTATTCTTTCTGAGCTGTGATTTCCTCAGCTGTAAAATGGGAATGATATAAATAGCTTTGTTCAAACTTGGGCCCCAAAAATAGCTGTTAAATGAGTGAAAGCAATCGCAAGATTGGACTTGAGGGGAAAATACTTTGTCTCTACTTACTACAGCCTGTCTTCTTTAAAAAGGAGTGCGTTTTAAATGTGTACAGTACTGGTGACTAAGCCCAGGGCCTTGCACCTGCTAGAAAAGTACTCTGTCACTGAGCCCCCAAATATATACTTTTAACTGTACAAATCAAATGTACATTCTGCATTTTGAAAGAGTTAAACTCTTTGGATAAGAAAGATGCCCCTTTGGCGACCACTTCTCTCTTTTAAAGGCAGTTTTATAGATATATTTCCACTGGGGAAGATGTCCCTTTTTGTCCCCTGCATGGGCCCTGGTTCTGTCCATTCACACCCTCTGGTGTCCCCCATAGGCGGGAGACCTTTGATTTTGATGATGACTGTGACAGCCTGACATGGGAGGAGAATGAAGACACTCTGCTGCTCTGGGAAGATTTCACCAACTGCAACCCGACCATCGACCTGCAAGGCGAGGTGAGCTGGGGCCTCAGGCTCCGCTTCCCTATCACCCTTATCCCTGTTTTCCCTCATAGCGCTCACCACCCAGCTCATCTGACCTTTCTGTGCTGTTTCCCCAGCAGGAAGAAAACTTGGGCAACCTGATCCATGAGACCGAATCCTTCTTCAAGACGAGAGACAAGGAGTACCAGGAAACGATAGGCCAGATCGAGGTAAGGCCCAGGCCGTGGAGTCCCTAGAGAGGCCTGTAGTGGAGACCCCTGGTAATCGAGTGCCTGTGTGCCCATTCCTAGGATGGAGGAATGAGGCAAGCTGAGGCCTATAGAGTCCCTGCCTGGCACAGGGGACACATCCTTCTTATGATTTTAGTTTCCTAACCTATAAAAAGGGGATGTGATCCCTGCCTGGCCCAGAGCTGTTGGTTTTTTCTTTTAATTATTCATTTGAAATGCTGACCCTGGAATAACCTGAGTTGACATTTTAGTGATATTGAATGATGCTAGGCACTGGGTAAGCTTGTCACAGATACATCCTTTTCGTATCCTTACTTCTACCCATGTAGTCGGAACTGTGCACCCTTTTACAGAGGAGAGGATGAGGTTGAAAGAGACCAAGTGACTTGCCCTAGGCCTCTCAGCAAGGAAACAGCATTCAAGTCAGTCCTCTCTGGCTTCAGAGGCTGTGCACCTAGCCGTTGTATAACTGATAGCTAATGCTTTTATCATGCTGGGGAGACAAGGCTGGTGCCTTCCCTGAAGGAAATACCATTTGATAGAGGAGCAGGGTCAGAAACATGAAGGAGATTTGAGGATTTCTCTAACTGAGGCCATATAGAGGAGCTCAGAGATGCTATGCAGAGGAACTGGGTGGGGCTTATCAGGCGAAGCCCCTCTGGGTTGCTAGGCAACCATGCACCTTTGACCACGAGCACTTCTAGAGGGTATGGACCATTGTGCAGACAGCAGAGGCTGAGGAGGTTGATGTCCGAGAGGCAAGGTCCTGAGAGTATGGTTGCTTTGATGGTGCCACCACTGAGGAATTGAGGAGGGAGGTTGCTGAGGGCTCTGCCAGAAGGATGGCTTGTCCTCACCCCTGTTCCCTGTTGGCTCCTCCAAGCTGGAGCTGGCCACAGCCAAGAGCGACATGAACCGACACCTGCACGAATACATGGAGATGTGCAGCATGAAGCGGGGCCTGGATGTGCAGATGGAGACCTGTCGCCGGCTCATCAAAGGCTCTGCAGACAGGTACCTTGCCTGTCCTCCTGGGATTCAGTGTTGGAGACCTTGGGGGGTACTTTCTGGGGCTGCACCTCATAGTCTGGCCATGTTCCATCTTTAATCCATCCATCCATGCATCCTTTCATGCATCTATCCACAGAATGTTAGTACACCTGTTATGTTCTAGGGGATTTATTTATCTAATCTAGAATTTCTCCAACAACTCTGCCGAGTTGCTTCAACAGATACTTTTTGAAGGTCTACTGTATGTAAGGCTATGGGGATCTTGTGATGAACAGCCAGAAACTGCCCTCCTGGAGGTTACGCACCATTTTCTGTGGAGTTGAGGAGTGCGAGAGGTGGACAGAATACTTCCCCACTGTTTCTGAATAGGCTCCCATCTTACCTATGGGAAGGGATTTCCCTTCCTTCTTTCTCGTATTCCAACCCAGGGTCAGGTAGGTCTGTCCCCAGGAGACTGATGTGTATCAGGCATGTCACATAAGGAGCCCTGCCATCAAGACACATAGCCTTATAGGGGGACAGACACTGATAATAGAGTAAGAATGCCCAGCACAAGCCACACGCTTGTGACCATCTTCCTATACATGAAGCAGTGGGGTGGGGGCTTGGCTCATCCTCTTCTACCTTAACTCGTGGATCCCCCAGAACCCAGTGTTAGCACAGGCAGGTGGACAGCTTGTCCAAGGACCCAGCCACCTGCCATAGAGCCAGAATTGCAAGGCAGTCCTATTAACCTCCATTCTGTGTAGCATCCCTTTGTGCTCTGAGTTATTTGGGGTTTACTGAGCATCTCCAGTGTGCCTGGACTTGGGTTGGATAATTGCAGGGTAAGAACCAAGCTTGGGGCGGAGGATTTAGCTCAGTGGTTTCGCCGCCTGCTGTGCAAGCGCAAGGACCTGAGTTCAATCCCTGGTACCAAAAGAAAAAAAAAAAAGAAAGAAAGAACCAAGCTTGATCCATGGCCCCTGCTCCCAAGGAGCTTTCTGTGTGGAGACCAAGTAGTGGCTGGGGCAGAGGGTCCCAGGAGGTATGGGAGGTCACAGGTCAGGTGTTATCCCTTAACAATATGTACCAGGAGTTCATTTGTATCTCTCAGATCAGCTATGACTTTTGAAAGATTAAAGGGTGCTAAGGAAAGGATCCAGGATGGAACCCCTCTGAGGGCCCGGCTGCTCAGGCTTCCTGCCCCTTACCCCTCTGAATGTCCCTCATTTCCCCCGTGCTTCCCAGGAATTCACCGTCACCCAGCTCTGTGGCCAGCAGTGACTCAGGAAGTACAGATGAGATCCAGGATGAGTTGGAGCGCGAAGCAGATGTGGAGCCCATGGTCAGCTGATGATGGAGGCCCTGCGTGCCTGGTGGTCTTGGGGATGGGGCCCTGGTCCCCTCTCTCCACAGGCCAGGAAGGCTCCTCAAAGTGGGCGCCAGTCCTCGCTCATAGACTTCCTCTGCCCTCCCTTCTCTGGAGGCCCCGAGGGACCGCTGCTTCCTTCCTTCTTTCCGTGACACCACCCTACAACTGACCAGTGCCCCTTCTCCATCCACCTGCCTACCCACCCAAGGAATGGTGCTGTCAATTTCTATTGTTCTCCACGTTACAAATGCAGACTTCTGTCTGGACCATGCAGTGTTAACTGTGCCTTCTCCCTTAAGCTGAGCCACTTTGAGCTCCAAAGAATTATTCCTAGCAGGTGTTTTTATATGAAACTCAAGGCGAGGGCGGGACCTGGGCATGGCATCAAGTAGTTTTCTACCCTCCCACCTGCTCCTAATTGGCCATGAGCTTTGCCCTCCCTTCTGCTAGCGCTGGCGCTGCCTGACACTGTGCTTGGGGTGATCTGCCCTCCCCAGGAGGGAGCCAGCCATTACCTCCAGGCCTGGGTGGGGACCTCCCGAGCTTTCTCACTCTTGAAAAGAGAGAAAAGTAGGAGGAAGGGAGGGAAGACCAATTTTTCTTTTGTTTTTTGGATTTAGTGGCAAAGTGGAGGGACAAGGCACCTTGGGGGAGTAGTAGGTGGAGCCTCACTGTGTTTAACTACTATGCAAAAACAAAAACAAAAACAAAAAAACAAAAAGCAGCTTGCCTTATATCATTGGAAGGCAGGCCCTGTCCCAGACTCCTGGTTTCCCCTGGGGCTGGGAGGCGGAGGTTAAGGTGGTGATCACTCTCTTGCAGCCTCCCAGGGTGAGCACTGGCTGGGGAGGGGGCTGGTTAAGGGGTTAAGGTTGATGGTGTGGGCTTCACTCCTGCAAGGGCCAGCCCACCTGACTGCTTGCTTTCTTTGGGACCTCTGGGGTTGGGGTGAGGGTGGGGTTCTTTTATTGTCCTGATGACTTGATGTTCTCCCCTCCCTCCCCAGCCAGCAATAAGGGGTTATAGAGCTGTAATTTCTCTGTGAGAAAGTCTGAAGAGGCCAAGCCTGGTACCACTTATTTCCCGGGGGAGCTTGGGGGAGCACCAGCCTGTCGCCATCCTGGTTCTCCACTGTCCCATGGTCACCTGCTGTCGGTACTGACAGCAGAGCAGATTGGCAAGGGGAGGGGAGGGAGCTGGTGGCCGCTGGTGGCTTGGAGACGGCTTGCATGGGAGCTTGAGAGAGGACTGTCCTTATTCCTCTCAGGGACACATGCAAGCCTCTTTCTGTGATCCACTTGGGGAGTTAATCTGAGCCAGTATCTCCCCAAGAGTTGAAGGGTCCCATGTTGAGAACACCCACCAAAACTGAGCTGGGGACCAGGCCACCATGCAGGCTTTGCTTTTTTCCCCTCCTCTCCTCTCCCTTTTGGGGCCCACTGTAGTGCGGGGTGGGGGTGGTGATGGCCCATTTGGGGTTTTGTTGGCTGAAGAGCTCCCTCTGGAGGTTGAAAGAGCAAAATGTGTCCGGGGACCAGTGTGGAGATCCAGGCGGGTGCTGGGCTGGAGGGCTTGGTGGTCCCCTGACTTCCCTGTGCAGGGGCCAGCCATCTGTAAGGGCCTTCTCTCTCTCCTGCTCTCCCTGTTTTGCATCTTAAAACCATTGTACATAATATTCATGTATATGTATTTAGAGAGAACGAGAATGTGTTAGTGACTGTGTGATGTAATTTATCAGAACTCGGTGGCCTTTCTCATGAGTTTTTCCCCTTGTTTTGTTTTGTTCTGTTGGGAAGATACCCCATCAGTCCCTGAGCACTCTGGCTTTGACACTTCTGTCCTCATCATCATTTTTTTCTTTTTCAGTACTGGGGATTGAACCCAGGGCCTTTGTATTCAGCTACATCCCTAGCCCTTTCCTTAAAATTTTACTTTGAGACAGGGTCTTGCTAAGTTGCTAAATTGTCCAGGCTGGGCTTGAACTTGCAATCCTCCTGGCTCAGCCTCCCAGAGTGCTGGGATTACAGGTATGCGCCACTACACCTGGCCATCCTCATCATCTCTTATTACTCAAACTGTCCCTTTTGGCAGGTACTTGAAGGGACAGTGGTTTTGGAAGAGAGCCCCTTTCCCTCTTCCTCACCAACCATTGTTCTACAGGTTACAGGGTTCAAACATACCTGATTATTATGATTGATGTTGTTATTGTTACTTATTTTTATTTTAACCAAAGGTTATCAGAGCCAACTGGGCTTGGACCTCAGCTGCTGAAAAGATATTCCGTTTCCACAAGGGCAGAAGATGTGGCCTTGTGGGTCTCACTGCCCAGGGCTGAGAGAGGCAGCCAGGGGTGGTTTGGGGGTTGGGTGGGCAGAGTGGATGCCAGTTCTGGGTTCCTCAGGGTGATGGGAGGGTGACAAACATATCTTTAGAGTTAAGACAGTAAGGCAATGGGATTAGTATTTGGGGTAACAAAAGTTACCAAGGTGATGGGTGTCCGGTGGTGTTTTGTTTTCTCCCTTGTATACGTAGATCATTTGTCCTTAGGTTGCTCCAAATTTATCTAGGAAACATGAGAACAGCAGGTGCCAGAGAGAGACACTGGCCTAAGACTCCCTTCCTACTGGCTTTCCATATCTGTTTTCCCCTGAGAAGTGCAGGGGAGGTCAGTCGGATGAGGGGAGGAAGGGCAGAGCGTGGTGGGCCTGCCTCCAGGGCTGGTTCTTGGGTCTGGGCTTGCCTACCTCCCATGCCCCTAAACTCATTTTTACGTTAGTTGCCAGTGGGTCCTGCTTGTTTCTTCACCGTGACCCCACAGCTTGCCAAGAAAGACCCCACTGCTTGCTGGGGCAGCACCAGGCCCTGCTGGGATGAACTGGTTCCATCCTTTGTAAAGCTGTAAATACTTAAATATTTGGTTTTTCTATTTTTAAGCCCAGTGTCATATTGACATTGGTATTTTAGAGTTGTTCTCAGATGGGTTCTCCTGTGCTGTGCGTGCGCTCTCTCTCTCCTCTCTCTCTCCTCTCTCTCTCCTAGTTTTGGGGGATTTATACACACTAAGGATTGGGGAGCAGCAGGGGAAATAGCATCCTTGGGCTCCCTGTTTGGTTGTGAAATATACATATTCATATGCACACACATACGCACATGCGCACTCTTCTGAGACTGAACAGGGATTAATATTACTGGCAAGCAAACACCTTTTGCTGTCTCATGGCAATACGTCTCGAGGGCTCTGGAGGATCCATCCATCATGGACTCAGCTCTGGGGCCCAGCTCAGATGACTTATGGAGCATCTACCCACTTTGGCTTGGGGTGTGAGAAGAGGGGGTAGGTAGGGGATCGTATAAGGTGTAATTTAAGCTAAATGTAATCTATTTATAAAGCAAGAGACTCTCATCTATTTTTATGAAAGGAAAGGGTTTTTAATCTCAGGTAGGCAGTTGTGGTAGCCAGCATTTTTCTGTGGACAAGATATTGTGCATGTTGCTGCTGGATTTAATATACTGGTACCCCTCACCCAGTCTTGCCTTCCCGTCCTTACTCTGATCATTCACACCTGTGGGTGGCTTCAGCAGAGGATAGGTCCCACTTCACCCCATTTCCTTCTTCCGTGACCCCTCAGGTCCTTGGAGGTCTTGTAGGGAGGCACTTTTGGGGGCAGGTGGGCTGCAAGGAATTCAGAATTCAGTTGAGGGTGTACTAGGGAGGGGCATGCTCTTCCCAGTACTCTGTGTTTCAGAGGGTAGCCTCTGATCACTCGTCCCAGCTCTGCTCTGCCAAGACCCATTTCTGACTCAACTGTGTTGAGAGAGGGTTCAGAAGCAACAGTGTGGTTGGCTGTAGGGCTGTGGGAGGGGCTGTGTGTAGGGCTGTCGAGCTTGGGGAGCACATGACCTCCTTTGGTCCTGGGCCTTCTCAGGTCCCAGGCTGTCAGGCAGCTGGGATGGGAGAGGCAGGAAGGTGCCCAGAGCCCACTCCTGGCTGTGCCTGCTCCAGGTCAAGGGAGGAGCTGCAATCCTCTGCTCCTGGATGATGGACCAGAGTGCCAGGGGTTTCCCCAGGCCTGGGTCCTCTTCTTGGGAGACTGAGCTTGGCTCTAGAAAGGCACTGTCCTAGAGTTGGGAATCTGGAGGTGGCTGGGGGATATGAGGAAAGTCAGACTCTCTGGGAGGGAATTTTCCAGGAGTAGGAGATTTCCAGTCTCAGGGTAGCCTTTGTAATAGTTTTGGGTGAATCCCTCATCATTCTCTCTCCCTCCCACACTCTCAAGGAAATGAGGCACAGCCCCATGCCAAGACCCCTTGTGGACATTTTACCATCTACCTGTTTTTTAGTCCTACCCTATCCCACTGTTGCTCTTTGTCTGCCAGCTGGGTCTAACATCACTGGGGGGGGGGGTGTTTGTACTCACGGAAAGACTACTGATCCTACCAGAAAACTAACCTGTTTACCATACTGTTGTAAATATTGTGCCCTTTATATCCTGTATATTGGCTTCTTTTAAATAAAGTGAAATGTCTTAGAATTGGTGGGTTCATTTTTTTTAATTGAGGGTTAAAGTGGTGACTGAAGGAGGGAAAGAAAACTTAAGAGCCACATAAACACTAAAACTTATTAGCCAATGAGTGATGAAGGAGGGACATTTCATATCACCTGTTAATTTGCATCTCACAGTAAGATCTTCAGAAGATGAGAAGGTGAGAATTACGCTACACATTTCATAGACAGGGAAGAGAGGGGTAGAGGACAAGGCCAAGGGGCATTCCTGATTTGGAATTGAAATTCTGTTGACCACAAAGCCTGGACATTGCAAACCTCCCCATGGTGCCAAGAGGCCACTTGCTGGGACCCTGGTGTGATATCGCTCAGTGTTCTAGTTTTGTCTTTTTTTTTTTTTGAGGATCGAACTCAGGTCCCTGGGCTTGCGAGGCAGGTGGTGGAACCACTGCGCTAAATCCCCGGCCCCTCTAGTTTTGTCTTGTTAATGGCCACATTCAGGATCACACTGCTCCAGTGTGAACTGAGCCCACCTGACCAGGGTCTTCTCCAAGGATGAAGAGAAACAGCCACTACCACCTCCACTGGCTTTGTGCCATCTCTAAGACGCGACACTTACATAGTTTTTTTTTGTTTTTTTTTTCTGTTCCCCACTCTGAATGTTTAAATTTCCCAATGTGTCGTAAATGGTGAAATCTGGAGATAACGGAATGGCCTGAGATGATGGGGCTGTTCTGAGGTATTATTACTTCCATTTTACAGAAGAGGAAACTGACGCCCACGGAGGCTATGTAATTTGGTCGGTGTCCTGTTATAGATCCTGGATCCAGAGTCAGCACCAGAACAGACTCCTAAGCAGGTGTTTGGTTCACGCTGCTGGAGGAATTACCAACACACTGGGAAAGAGAGCGTGAAAAACCTTAACATTAATTTAGGAACAGAATGAGTCCCTAAGACATCGTCATCAGAGAAGACTTTAGAATGCGAGTTTTAAATACATTCCAGTATTGCCCGCAGGAGGCTGAGGCAGAAGGATTGCAGTGAGTTCGAGACTGTCTCAAGTCAATACTGTGCGTCCCAATATTCATTGAACAGTTAGGGAGAAAACCCAAATTTTCCTGGGGGGTGGAGCTTTGAAAGAAAAGCACAGGCCGACAGGGGTTTTATCTCCTATTGATCGTAATTTACAAGGAAGCAGGCTCTGGATAGCTGGCTGCCCCCGCGCCACGCCGGGGAGGGGATGGAGGGCGGCTGGCCGCTGGCCAGGAAGCTGGAGGCAGGCTCATCACAGGGCGGTGGCCGCGGTGTAGCCCTGGGGGTCGAGGAATCCGGTAGCTGGTAGGTTCCCGATCTTCCACAGGACAAGAGCAGTGGGAGAAGAGACCCACGGGCTGCACAGTACCGATAGTACTTCCGCCGGCCACCAGCGAGAGTGCAGTCTGCGCTCTCAGGGGCTCCTGAGGCCAGCCTACAACAGAACTGCCCGCTGATTGGTCTAGGTGCTTCTCTGTGCCTCTCTGATTAGTCGGTGGGGCTCACGCCCACTCTCCCTGGGTAATACCATAAAGAGGAAGAGAAAACATATGTATATATGTATTTCAGAACTTTTCTTAAAGACTTCTTTGTCTACGTTACATAACAGCCTCTTTATAACTAACACAGAGAGGTTATTATTTAAAGGGCGTAGATCCAAAAAGAGGGGTCCGGAGCTGGGAGGCAGGCCAGGGCGAGGCGGCACCCCCTCCCGCCTAGGTGGTACGTTCCCATCGAGGTCGCGCAGTCTAGCCTTGCCGGGCGGTCGCTTCGGGCTAAGGAGACAACTTAGCTGGCTCGAAGATGCTGCTACAGCCGCGATTGCTCCGCCGCCTCCTGCTGGTCCGCCCCTGGAGCGGGGCCAGGTAAGTGAGCGCCTTATCCAGGCCGACACAGACGCGATGCCTGCTGCCCGGGGTCCTGAGAGTCGCTGGGCGGCTCCTTGCGGCTGATCGGTCCCCGTCGGGGTTTTCAGGAGCTTCCCTCCGTCCGAAGTCGCTTGGCTCCCGCCTCCACCCAGGCTTCCCTCTCATGGGGATTCCTCAGTCCACTCCTCTTCGCCTTCAGCTGGCCAGCTTTCTTAGGGGGGAACCTCTTTCTGCAGCCGGGTGGGTTGCTCGGGACTATATCTCTCGCCGGAAAGTGGCCTCCTTCTTCACTAGTCTCTCCCTCGTGCTGGATGCAGTATTCGAAATTTGCTGGCTTTCCGATGGGAGCATGTCTATTTTTAGCACACCACGCCTCTAGCTTCTTTACCCAGTTTCATTTTCTGGACCCCTTCTTGAGATTCCCTGAGTCCTCTCCTCCTCTTAGCGGGCTTTCCACCGTTCTCTCCCTCTGCTTCCCCCCTCCCCTTTTTCATTTAAAGGTGAGGTAGACAACAGGGCCTCCTTTCTTCTGGTAGGTGAAATGGTAATATTTATACAATGCTTATAATATGCAAACGTTGCACTAGGCACTTGGCATGTGTCTTATTGTGAAGACTGAATGAGTTAATATCCGTAAAGTGCCTTAAACAGTGCCTGCCCCATAATCAGTGCCTGGTTATTATTACTGGCAAGACCCTCAGAATCGCTTTTATTTGCACTTCTCATTCCTGTGAATCGGGATATTATTCTTCCAAACAATGAAAAAACAGGAGGTGCAGTTCCAGGCTAGAGCTGCTCTTCATATCCTGATTTGCCAACTTCAGCACAGTGGAGTTGGGTTCCTGGACCCCAGTGCCCTCCATGCAAATGTTCCGCCCTGGGCTAAGTGCTGGGAGGATAGGACAGAGACTGACCAGAGGCGCTCCCAGATTGGTAGGGCTGTGCATATTGATCTACCTCCCTTTTAGAGCTGGACAACACCCTCTTGTCCCCCAGTTTGAGTTTTGTTTGCCTGGATATTACGGCTTTGTTGGCTGTGTAGTATCAGCTCCTTTGCTGAGCTGTGCCCTTTCTGAGTTAATCAGTATCCCTCTCCCTGCCTCCATGGGCTGGCATGGGTGTTTTCAACTGCATGAGCCATGATCAAAATATATGGTGAAAGTTAAAAAAAAATGGTGGAAGTTTAAATTTAAAAATTTATTACAGTAAAAGATAACATTGGTATTAATCCCCCTTCAGAACTGCTTCCGAAAGTGGTAAGAACAAAAAGCTGGGTGTGGTGGTGCACACCTGTAATCCCAGTACTCAGGAGGGGATTTGGATGAGGTGGCACACATCTGTAATGCCAGCACTTGAGAGGCTGAGGTAGGAGGATCACCATGAGTTGGAGGCCAGCCTGGGCTACATAGTGAGTGTAAAGCCAGTCTGAACTACATAGCAAGACCCTGTCCGTCCCCGACCCCCCATGACAAAAACAGTGGGATAAAACCCCTCTAATATCTGGTAGAAAGCAATTTATGTTCTAAAGGAAAACTCCATAATAATCAAATACCACAGGGCCAACACTGCTGACCTGTACTTTATTGTCCCCATTTTATAGATGAGGCGCTATCTTCAAGTTTAGGCAGACGTAGGACTAAAATTATCATGGGTCTCATTCCAGATTCATGGTCCTAATTATGAGGCTTCCTGTGTTGAGAGGGGAGACAGTACTTTGCACCTGGTTCCAGGCTTAGGTTACTTCTGGCCGGATGCCCAGTTAGGGTTTCTCAACCTCAACACCATTAACATTTGGGGCCAGCTAAACCTTTGTTGTGGGGGCTGCTCTGTGCATTGTAGGATTTCAGCAGGACCCCAGCCTCTGCCCACTGGGTTCCAGTAGCACCCCAGTCATGACAATGAGAAACACTCACCAGACATTGCTCGTTGTCACATGGGGGCTGAATTGTCCCTGTTGAGAGCCACAGTTCTAGGGTATCTTTGGTGTTTGATCACTTATTCATTTGAGGGATATTTAGGACATGCCTGGGGTATGCTGTATCTGATTTATGCTTCTTTTTTTTTTTGTACCGGGGGTCGAAGTCGGGTCCTTGCACTTGCCCAGCAGGCGGCAAAATCACTGAGCTAAATCCCCGGCCCTGTATCTGATTTATGGAAAAACAGTTTTAGGACATTTTTAATGAAAGCTGCCAGTGTCCTAGATACAAACTCATGCCAAGAAAAACTGTCTGTTTTGAAGAATCAGTAGTGTTTTCCCTTTTTGCCTTGAGTACCAGGAATCTCAACCAGTTAAAAAAAAAAAAACAACCCTTGGTTACTGTGTTTTCTTTTTATTTAATTAGTATGAGTCTGTTGTAAAAAGTACAGAAAGAGGGCTGAGGATTTAGCTCAGTGGTTTTGCCGCCTGCTGCACAAGCTCAAGGACCTGAGTTCGATCCCCGGTACCAAATGGTAAGCTCACCTCACAAAAGCAACCACAGTTACTGTTTGCTGAATATCCTTTTAACATCTTTTCAACATGAATGTACTAAAACTACAAAACACAATAGAAAACCCATGTTCATGTACAGGTTGACCATCCCAAGTCTGAAAGCTTTCTGGGTGCCAGTGTGACACTACAAGAGGGAAACTGTACATTTGACCTCATATAATGGATCTTGATCAAAATGCAAGTGCACTATGAATATTGTATAAAATTACCCTCAGGTTATGTGCATATGCTATTTATGAAACATAAATGGATTTCATGTTTAGAGTTGTTGTGCTTCCCCAAGATATCTCACTATGCTTTTTTTTGTTTGTTTTTTCTTTGGGTTTTTTTGGTACCAGGGATCGAACTCAGGTCCTTGAGCTTGTGAGGCAGGCAGCAGACCCACTGAGCTAAATCCCCACCCCTGTTGTTTTTTTTGAGACAGGGTCTTTTTGCTGACCTTGAACTCACTATATAGCCCATAGTGAATTCAAGTCCTTGAACTCTCAGTGATCCTCCTCCCTCAGCTCCCAGGGTGCTAGAATCACAGGTGTGCACCATCACGCAGGTAGTCCAATTTTTGTTTTTTTGGTACCTGGGATCAAACTCAGGACCTTGCGCTTGCAAGGCAGACGCAGTGGCACTGAGCTAAATCCCCAGCCCCCTGAGTCCAAAATCCCAAAAGATCTGAATCTGAAACAGTTCTTGTCCCAAGCATTTCAGATAAGGGATCCTCAGTCTGTACATTTTGTAGCGCTTGTTTTTTCTTGCCATAGGCTTTTCATCCCTTACTGTGGGACCCCAGGGCCCAGAGCTGTCTGGCTCCTGGTGAACCCCTAACACTGGGTGAATAGATGAACTTATCAGGACCCCCTACTTGTCAGTAGATGTTTGTCACTGTCAGTCTTGAAATGACTACCACCAACAGATGACCATTGAGAATAGGCCCAAGGATGGTAGCTGCAGACAATGGCTCCCACTTGGCTTGGATATGAGTTATTTGACTGAATGCCTCAGTAACCTCCAAGGTATTCCCATTTCACATATTAAACACTGAAGCTAGGTCGGGTGTGGTGGCACACGCCTATGATCCTAGCACTCAGGAGTCTAAAACAGGAGGATCACTGTAAGTTCAAGGCCAGCCTGGACTACATAGTGAGTTCAAGATCAGCTTGAACTACACGTGAAACCCTGTCTCATAAAACAACAGGTCCAGGGATTTAGCTCAGTGGTTCCGCCGCCTGCCTCGCAAGCACAAGGTCCCTAGTTTGATCCCCAGTACCAAAAAACCAAAAAAATCAGAACAAAATAAAAAGAAACAAACAGAAAAACAAACAAAAAACCACTGGGGCTAATGGAAGTTAGAGAAAACTTGTCAGAACCCTCAAGTTAGTTGAAACCAGCCCTCCCAGCCGAGTGCCGTCTTCCACCCCAACTTCTGTTCTTTTCTCTTTCAACTTTCTCATTGGTGACTGGGTGGTCATCTCTGCCTATTCTCTGGAAATAGGCAGGGTACAAAATCATATATAAATTTAAGAGCTAGCCAGGCACACAGTCAGCTTACAGAAAATGCTATTTTCCATCCTTTGCTTCACCTGTGCCAGACCTAGTGATGACTTCTGCTGAGCCACTGCAGGGCTTATGGGCTGGCTGGGTTGGTCACTGTTCCCTGTGGCCTACAGTGTCCCCCTCTTTAATTTCCGTGATTTAAAACTACCCCACCTTTTCCCAGCCTGCAGGTGTAGGCTGCCCTGGGCAGGAGGCTGGCATTTCTCTCCATTCCCTGGGCACACTCTGCTCTCAGGTGCATCCAGGCAGTGGCAGGAATAGCACCTCTGGGCTGGCATGTCCTCCCTGACACCCCCCACCCCCATGTCCTCATATTCCTCATCTGTGAAATGGGGACAGTTTTTGTTTTTGTTACCAGGGATCAAACTCAGGACCTCGAGCTTGCCAGGCAGGTGCTGTGCTGCTGAGCTAAATCCTCGGCCCATGGGGACAATTGTTTTAACATCATTCGAGCAGATGATTGTGAGGGTTAGAGTTTGCTGGGTGCCTGGTGCCTTCTGTGTGCTCTGTAGGTATTTGTTTGGAAGAATAAATAGAATCTACATATCATAATGCTTCTGAAATTGTTTAAGTCCTGTCTCACGCAGTGGCTGGCACTGGCACCTTTGGGAGTGCTGTACACCTGGCACACAGTAGGTATTGGACACTTGCTGTTGGAATGAAGCTCCACCTCTTAGCAGCTCTGTGGCTCTGGGTAGGTTGCTTAGCCTCTGTGTGCTGCCTTATGGGAAATAAGAACCACCTCCCAGGTTGTTTTGGGAACCGAGGATTCACACATGTAAACCCAGAAACCTCGGTAAGTGCAGCTGTGATTCTGATGACCATCCTTCCTCTCTTCCACCAGAGGCTGCCTTGAGCAGACAGCCCAGACCCAGGATGGTGCAGGGCAAGCTCTGTGGGCTTAAGGTCCTCAGCCCCGCCCCTCTCATCTAATTAACTACCACACCTGTGGCTGGGG